AAAAAAAAAAAAGACAATGAAACGAAAAAAAGCGAAAGAGGAAAAAAAGACATGTCGATTGCAATCACATACAAGAAATCACAACATCTTCACACAGCACCGATAGACGCACACACGCAGTCGGAACTCCACTCCAAAGTACACATTTGAAAAAAGGAGAACAAAAACGAGTCACCTCCGAACCGATTACCCCGCCGACAGACACCGTCTTCTTCGAAAATGAAATCGCGCAGCTGCGCGCACTCACTCGCAACAAACCGCATCACCGGGCGCCAACAACCTACTACAAAATGTGTAACAAAAAAAAAGAAGGAAAACAACTGCGGATGAACAGCGTCTCCGACGACGGCTCCGCGACACTAGCGATCAATGACAACCCGCACTGAACGTACACAACACCCCAGGGCACGGCACACGCCTGCAACAGCTAAATAACACAGAATGCCTATGTTGGACACAACACAGAATGACCTCCACAAGGATGGCAGAGCCACGTGCCGTCGACGCGGTGCTCGCCTTCACGCATTTTTCATCCGCTCCGCCAACGCCTCGCGTAGCGCCAACGCACGGGGCCGATTGAAGTTCTCAGCAATGGGGTGGGGTGGATGATCCATCCCCAAGTCCACTCGCTGCCGCACGCCATTAGCATCGACCTCCCACATCAAGTTGTCGTCGAACTCCATGCCAGCGTCAAGGAGGATGTTGTGCAGAATGCACACGGCCTGGAACTATTGTGGGAGAGTGTCCATATTCGTCTTGTGTGTGCAGAGGAACAGCCTCCACATCCCTTTCAATCTCCCGAAAGCTCTCTCCACTGCTCCCCTGCCGACCTTGTGCTTGTTGTCGAACCTCTCCTCGTCGGGGATTTGATCGGTCCCCCCGTACGGCACGACAATCCACTCCAGCGGCGGATACCCGTTGTCGCCCTGAATGTAACCGTGTGTCGTCACTCCGAACGGCAGCACAACAGGAGCTCCACGGAAAAGATCCCCCTCCTCCGCACGCGCCCACAAACTGGAGAGCTGAAGCACCCGAATGTCATGGCAGCTCCCTGGGTAACCGACGAAAACGTCCGTGATGCGCAAGTCCAGGTCCACCACCACCTGCGCYACAACGGAGAAACGATGCTTCCGGTCGAAGTAGTTCTCCGAAGGAGCGTTCGCCGGTTTGTCGACGTAAACGTGCGTGCAGTCTATGCAGCCATAGCAGTTGGGAAAGCCCTTCGCCTCRAAGGCACGCAGAACGAGCGTACGACGCATCCCAGTAGGCCATACGAYCTTGTCACTGTACACCCTCAGGAGCGCCCTCGTAACGTCCTCCACTGCGATCAACCCGGRTGYRCGCCCTATTCCGAATGACGACGTGYTRCTCTCGTAYGTCTCACCGCTCGCCCATCGGTACAACGCATATGCGATGATGTGATCCGGCTGCAAAGGAACCCTGTAGAATGTCACCCGCCGCTGCAGAAGAGGAAACAACGCCTCCACGATCTCCATGAACACCCTGGGGGTCATCCTCAACTTTTCCTTGTAGTACTCGTCCAAGGCGTCGTCCATCTTCCGCAGATCCTCCCACGTGCCACCCGTCCTTCTCCGCATCCACCACCTTGGAGTCGCCCACAGTATCTCCCGGATGACATGGCGGCGCAGAACTGGGTAATGGATTCGGACATGGACACGCAGTCTGGCGCCGCCATCACGTGGTGGAGGAGCTCACGCTGCCTGCGGATAGACACTCTCGTCCTCAACCGCACCGTCGTTCTCTCGATGCGACATCACATGGCCACCGCCGACACTGCTGCAACCACCGCATTTCTCTCCACCCTGCTCAAGGTCTTGCCACAAACCTCCTGCGACACGTGTTCCATCACGATGCCCCGACGACGCCTTGTTCAACAAGCACAACAGACGGACGACTGGACCCTCGTCACACACTGTCCCAGCGGACGTTGGAGTGGTCGAGGGCAGCTCCTTGTACACGAATGACGGGCGCGTGAAGCTATGGCGAGCCACCGGATCGTCGTCGTCTGCAGGAAGACGAAGGCGGGACACACACCACTTCACGCGCTCCAACATCGTCACCTTTCGCGCCGCGCCGGCTCACGATCGGATGAACGAGTCGCCAACAGCGATGGGCGCCGCAAATCGTCCGAGCACACGTTTCGCACACTGGTAGCTCCAGGGGTGGTGACGCCACGGTGCGCCTTTACCTCGGCTGACGGTTTGAAATTCAAATTTCGAAAAGGAACCTTCGCGCCTCTTTTCACAGCGCAGCATCGCGGGCCTCCTTGCGCCGCCAGTGGACCACGCCCGACGACGGACGGACATCCCTCGACAACGACGGACATCCTCTCCCGCGGCCTCGCATATGCGTATGAAATTGGYCGCGGGATACCTCCAAGGTTTTTCCTTGGGACCCTTTCGTTTAGGACGTGGTGTAACGCCGCCGCCAAATTCCTTGAAAYTTTCCAAGGACTTCGTCCTAATTCCTGAGGATTTTTCAAGGAGGGTCTAACGAGGCCCATACTCACACTTGGTTTTCGGCTTTCCATTCATGTTCCCATGCGCTGGGCCCGGTTTCCAGCAGGTGTAACTTGCCACCAATAGGAGGAGTGGCTGCCCAAAGGTCTACTAGAGGGGGCTGCTCTTATCACCCCTTCTAGTAGGCGGTCTCGGTCTTTTGTAAAAAAATAAAAAACCTCGATGGGGGCGGGGGAAGTAGATGGGAGGTGCAGCTACTGGCCAGATGCTCGGTCTTTGCCTTAGCGGCCCCCCTACTGGCAGCTGCACACTACTCCCTGACCACCCCCGATTAGGACAGTGTGCAACATGCAGCCCCTTAAACCACCAGTACTTGGGCACTGCACGCCGCGCCGGCCGCACCTTTTTTGAAGCGGCGGGGGCTGTCGATACGATTTATCGACGGCCCGCCGGTAGCGAAATTCTCGTAGCGTTAACGCTAAGGCGTCGCCCAAGTACTGGTGGTTTAATCGTGAGGGGTAGCTATGGTTGCAGGGGTCCCCTGTATAGGCTTAGGAGTAGTGGTAGGTAGATAGTGAAAAGAAGAGGAAAATGCAGGTAGATAGAACTTGTAAGCGGTCTGAGGGGGAGGAGGTAATGTACGGCAGCAAGTGACTCCAGGCTTTTAATATGGGGGACCATGTAGGAGACTTGACAGAGGTTAGCATTGGGTGCATCAGTAAAGTTTGCCATACAGCATCTGGGTTCCTTAGACCCCAGTCTTCTGCCAGGAGTGCTTGGGCGATTAAAATCCATGGGAGGGGCTCTGTGGTGGTGAGTAATTCCACCGGCCACTTAGCGAGCAGGGCGTGATTCTGTCTTTCTGGGTCAAGGGTGCCAAGACCTCCTTGACCCTTTTTCTCCGTGAGCTTCCACCATGCAACCTTGTTAATGCAGGAGGGACTATCTGAGTCCCCCTTCCAAATGAAACGGGTGAGAAGTTGCCTGATTAGTGCGGCCRAGGAGGCAGAGAGTGGTCTGATGGCCAGTATRTACCATCCTGTAGAGAGAATGGCTGTATTGGCCACCAGTGCTCTGCCGAATAGTGACAAGTTGGTGCACTTGGAGTATTTAGCACAGGCGTCCCGTATACGTGTCTCAAGAATTGTTGTTTGTTCTTTACTGCAGTCTCCGAATGAGACCAGGATTCCCAGATAACGTTCTGAGTCGGAACTTTGGATAACCTTCATACCCAAGTCCGTTGCGAGGGTAGTCCCTTCTGATATTAAGACAGTGGATTTACTCCAACTGACTTTCATTTCTGAGGCGTGTTCGTAAACGGACAGGCAGTGACGTAGGGCTGTCAAAGAGGTCACTGTGTTTTCTGATATGGCTGAA